TTTTCCCTGAACCTCCCCCCCTCTCTCTCTCTCTCTCTCTCTCTCTCTCTCTCTCTCTATATATATATATATATATATATATATATAGACGGGTTCAAATGAGAACAATAATTATTTAAAAAAACAAGAAAAATTCGTTAATGTATAAAATCGTATATGGTTCCGTAACAAATTATACATGATCCAAGCGACTTTGCCCTGCGATTTAAGTAGCCTCAAACATCTCCCGTTTCCATTTAATGTAAATTCACATGTGATTTTGTACATTAACGATTTTTTTCTTGTTTTCTTAAATAGTTAGCGTTATCGTTTGAACCTTCATACATATATATATATATATATATATATATCATGAGAGCACGTTGTTTTCATGAGACTTGTAAGACTACTTTTTTACAATTGAAACTTCACAGTGTTTTGTTATGAAGTTTCAAGTGTAAAAAAATGGTTTCATAGGTCTCACAAAAACAGACTGGTTTCACGTAATACCAAATCTCCCCCCCCCCCTCTCTCTCTCTCTCTATATATATATATACATATATATATATATATAAATATATATATTATAGCCTTGGATCATGTGAGACCAAAGGTTTTTCGTGAGACCCGTAAGACCAATTCTCAATCTTTGGATTAGATCTACAATATGATAATCTGCACATTCATAAATGCTACGAGACTTCTCAATAATCACAAAATTGTCACCGTGCAACTTTAGACCATTAGATCATTAGCTTATAAAGTTGATCAATGAACATAAATTGGTTTTATGGATCTCACGAAAAATCTTTGGTCTCACGTGAACCCAACCCTATATATATATATATATATATATATATATATATATATATATAATATGTGTGGGTGTATGTGTTATATATATTCGGTGTGAGCCGGTTATTAACGGAAAATTGATTAAAGGTAAGGTCAATCATTGGTGTATCATTAATTGGATTCTTGTTTTGGATTTGTATATTGGTGATTGTTGGATTGGATCTCGTACGTTGTTATTTATGGATTTCTCACATCGTAGGGATTTCTTCAAAATAACTTGAGCAGTAAACTACGATTTTCGTCCTTATGATTTGTTGTTTATTACGTTTTCATCCCTATAGACCATTAGATCGTTAGCTTATAAAGTTGATCAATAAACATAAATTGGTTTTATGGATCTCACGATCAATGAACATAAGAGTATTAGATATATGTTATTATATAATGTCATAAGATGAAGGATCGTACGAAAATAAAAATTAAGATAAAAATCGTAAGAAGAGATGTGGACCCTGTGATTACTTTTAGTCCCACCTTCGGCCTATGAATTGCACTTGATATGAGAATTAAACTGTTGAAATACACCTCATTAATGTTGATCTTTAATTATAATTGAAATAAGAGTGGCATTTATATTTTTATCCTTTTCAACATAACTTTCATTCTCACTCAAAATCAACCCTATTTTCTCATAAGATCCTTGTCTATATATATATATATATATATATATAGGGTCAAGATCAAATGTTAACCAAAGTTTTTGTGTCAACATTGTTAACCGATCTTGGTCATTCAATCTTTCAATAAACGGTTGTGATTAATTATTATAAATACTTATTTTTTTAAAATTTAAAATTTCATAAACATAAGTGAACAAAGTTGAAAAGGGTATTTAGGTAAAAAAAAAATATGTAACTCCCATATCATTAATTGGGAGTTACAAAATAAAAAAAAATTATGATTTTTGTTAATTTATTTTTGTTAACATAAGAAACATATGAACACAACTATATATATATATATATATATATATATATACCATTGTATCAAATACGAATTTTTTTTTTGACAAATATATGAACTTGGACTGCATAGCATTTATGAACACAATATGAACATAATAAAAATAATTGTTATACGAAAGAAAATAAATAAATAAATAAACAAGTATGAACATAATATGAACAGCTTTTGAACAATAGTTCATTAGTTATAAACGCATTCAGGAGCGATCCTTTGTCAATTGGAGTTTTATACATGCATTGCAGTGGTCCACCCCTTGTTCATATATGTTTCTGGTCTTAAGTGGTTGTTCAACCCTTGTTCATATCGTGTTCACCCCTTATTCATATCGTATAAAATATATGAACATATAACCCCGATGCTATGAACATCGAGTGCAAACACTTACACAAATATAAAGATTTGGTATCAAGCTTAAAAAATAACACTTGTGTTCATATGATATAAGTAACATGAACACAATGGTTCATGATTCATAAAGTCGGTAATATGACAATATGAAAATAAGTCGTACATGTACTTCCATTTGAACATGTGAATTAGGTAGGTATTAATAGTTAAAAAAAATTATCAAAGCAATATGAACTACAAAAAACACAACACATCATAATAAACATAATTTCGATTAAAACGAGTCTAATAAAATATTAATTCAACCCCCACCGTCTTCTTCTAACACCCACAAAAGCAAACCCCAACCTCTATTCTTCCATTCCTTGAGGTTGAATCAGAATCCCTCACACCCATCTTCCTCCTCTCCTTCCCTCTTAATCGGTGCTCGAAAATTTCTCCTCCCTCCCCCCTGTTATCAGCGCTACAACAACCATGTTATGACTTAGATACATAAATGAAAATTTATTTGCACAACGATATTGAATTCAAAACAGAACCAGAAATTTATATATATATATATAGCAGCATATATACATGTATAATTACAGAAGCATAATGACAGAGAAATAAGTTGGAATTCGATGACTAACTTGACTGTGTAGATGTGAATCCGACGAAGAACAGATGTAAGACTGAGGCCTGCAATAGCAGTGTCCTTAGACATAAATTCGTCTGGTGAATTGGACGTCTATCTAGAGGATACAACAATCCGTTCAAGAAAGATACTTGAACCCGTCGAATCGACTATGTCCCTGATGATATCGATAGGAACAGATGCGCCAAAACCCAAGAAAGTTTCTGTATTTTTCGTCTGAGAAAAACGAGAAATGGAGGGAGCATTTATAGTATACCATATGCACTTTAACTGTCGGTTAACCGACGATAACCGTCGGACAAAGCCGAGTATTGGCCGCACACTGCTTCCTAGCACCAAGCCATCTCGCTAACGATACCAAGAGCCCCCAGGCCCAAGGCCCTCTTGATATTTAATATGTAGTGAACCCAACTAGATAGTTAGGCATTTTGACACTAGGTATGGCCTTGGTAATATAAGGCACTTAAAATCTTAAGATTGGGTCTATGTGGGACAAACCAAATACCCAACAATACCCCACATTTCTATTCAAACGCCAATAATACCCCACATTTGAATAGAAAATAAGACATTTCAAGGGTCTTATAGTACTATATCGAAAATCAAACATGACATGCATCGGAAGAGGTGTCCAAGTGACTTGAACCTAACGTAGTGAATACTCATCGGACCTACTTTGTGGATAGTGACGAGAAGTCTTGAACTAGCCACGTGTTGTAGTAAGTCAAGACAATGAGTATCACACATATCATGTTAATGCATAGATCGATTCTTACCGTTGTGTTCATTTCGGTCGTGAACAATCCTTCTTCATGAGACTTTTAGAAGACATAGCCATATAGTCCTCAAAGATGCGATCCCACATCAATCTCATATAGGTAATACTGATCAAGAACATTCTGTACT